AGATGGGTATGATTGTTTAGTACGATGGGCACAAAATCACCAAGAATCTCTACCCCCGGAGGCAGAACAAGTATTTCAGGAAGCGAGCACTATCATGGAAACCCTTCAGGATTTATGGTTACAATGCCTAGCCTTATCACATCATGCGACGACCATGGGGAGACTAGCTACCATACATTTTCTATGTCGACATATGAAAACAATTCTGCCCCAGAAATGGTACGGACTGAACCTGACCCGTTATTTCGGAAAGCCTTACAGTTTCCTGACCCATCCCCAAGCGGGCAAAGTGATTTTATTGTGGCAGGACATAGATGCGATGGAGAAAGTATGTATTCAATACGGAATGAAATACCTGGAAATTTCACACAGGCTAGGAAATCCGTAACTTTTAATACCAGCCTCAATCAAATCTACGAATTACCCCCCGAAGACCGGAGAAGTCCCTGGATGCAATTAGTAGCGGATCGAATAAGATTTCGGAGGAGAATTCGACAGTTAGAAGCATTGTTAGTTTTTAAGAAATAAAATAAAAAATCTCGTAATACTATGTCAGTGTTATGTTATTTTTATGACTTCATGAATACACTCAGGGTTCGTTTCATGAATTTTGCTTTGTCACTGTGATGGGGGTATGACAAAAGCGATTTTTTTGTTAGACCTACTTTAATTTGGATTATTTTTATGAATAAATTTCATATATGCAGTTCGTCTATGTATTGCCATGCCCAGAATTTCGGAAGATTTTACCCCAGTGAAAAAGGCTTGTAATATGCTACCCTGTAGAAAGTCGTTTAAAGTTGTTTCACATTGTTTATAAATGTCAAACTTTGTGTGCGGTTGCCTCAAACGCCTTGTATCTTTGTGCCCGAATAGAGGAGAAGTGTTATCCCTCAGTTATGTTTTGTTAGTTTTTAAATAACCCATTTCTGTTATGTTAATTTTTATGTTTTTCAATTTATACAGTCATGTGTTCTGTTGGTCACTTAATAGGCCATGCATCTTTATACAGTCGGGTTAATTTTCTATGAATTTCGGCGAGATTTTACCCCAGTGAAAAAGGCTTGTAATCTACCCTGTAGGTCGTTTAAAGTTGTTTCACATTGTTTATAATTGTGATTATGTTATCCCTCACCTATATGTTTAATGTCAGCTATGCTAAATAACCCATTTCTGTGTAATTTGAGAAAATGTTTTTGTCATGTGCTTAAAGTATGGCCTGCTATTCATGTCATCATTTAAAAAGTCGATCCTAAATAAAATCTGTCTTTAAAAAAATACATTTTACAAATGACATTTAATATAATTAGAGTAAAGGAATCCATATATATAAGAGATATTATTTTTGCATTACATTTATAAGAGGCATTGTCTCATGTAATTTAATAACAAAAATGGGTTTTATTTTTCTATACAGTCCTCAAACCTGGAAGATATGTTTTTGTTCCTAACCAATCCATTCTCTAAGTGAAGTGAAGCCTGGCTGCTGGTCTTCCTTTGGGAAATACACAGTGAAATAACTTAACATAAAAAAAAAACAAAACTTGAATCTAAAAAAAGTTTCAATATCATTTTAATTTATTTTCATTAAGATAATTATTTTAAATGTTTATATTTTTAAAAAATGGATTAAAAAAAAAATAAAATCTGATAATGGAAATCAATACCATAAAGATAGCAAGTTTTTTTATCTTTAAGTGCTAATAAAATTTCTGAATTTTCCATTAAAATATTTGACATTATATCACAGGGGAAAGAAAAAAAAACTACTTGAGTGTTTCTACTGACCCCCACCAGAGATCTGCTTATGAGTGCATGGGGATTACAGTGGACCTTCATCTCCTGTTTAAAACAGACATTAGAGTATGACAGATAAAAAAGGTACTTTTTTTTTCTTTATTTTACATCACATGAAAACACACACAATTAATGATGAAGAATGTACACATGTTTTTCATAAGTGTGTACAAATTGTTCAATATAATGTCTATAATGAATCCAATTTCCTTGGGCTAGTCCACACCCAATCTTGTAAGGAAAAGCATAAGTCTGGTAAGGTAAACTTTCCCCCATTTCTTGTAAACAAGTTTGAAACCATTGCTCTCTGTTTTGTGGGGTATCCTGATAAGTGGAAATTCTTTTAGGTCGGTGACTTGCTTTTCCATAATCCCATTGAGCTAATAAACAAATGACCACAGGGGTTTGTGAGGGAAACACCTTAATAGTGCCTGGAATTCCTCTATCTTCTTCTACGGCTAAATTTCTAGTCCCTAGAGGTCTGCGAGTGGCATAGAGATTAGCTTGTGGGAATTTCTCTGCAATACTTTGACTCAATCCATGAGCTTTTACAGTTAAACAATTACATTGATGAACAATAGCTTCTACCTCACAGTTGAGTAAATCACCTTGTATCTCCTGGAGACTCATGATGTAAAATGAATCTATTTTTTAAAAACACCCTTGTTTTTATAGAACAACAACAACACAATAAAACAAGTTTTTTTTTTTTATTCAGGTAAATCTAGTTCTCTTGGAACTAATTCTTTGTTTCTCACATCAGGTTTTAAAACTCCATATTCTTCATAGTCACCTTGTCTATAAAAAGTTCTTTCCAATTCTGGGGTGCTGTAAGACATCTCAAAACAGGTTAATTTATGAATCTTTCTGTACATGTATCTCCCTTGAACTCTGTTTTTCATTTGAATGAATCCTCTCACATGATGAAGTTTTCCAGTTTCTGGATGCCTTTCTTTTTGTAAGATCAAGTATTGATAATCACTTCCAATGATTTGATCTACATCTTCCTGTCTGCACCCAGTTAAATTAAATATCCAATTATTGGCTATTCTACCTCTGTCTTGTTTTAAGTAAGCAATATATCCATTGCCTGTATTTTCTTTCTGTTTATTTTGATAATGAGCCTTAATATCCTCCAAGAGTTTGTTGTTTGGTCTTATGTTTTCTTTTTCCTCCTCCTGAGGTTTATATTCTACAGGATGTTCTTCCATCAAGGGAGGTGGTATAAATACTGCAGGATGTTCTACCATCAAGGGAGGTGGTATGATATCTTTTCCTCCCTCCTGTATAAGTAACCATTCAGTTTCCTTTAATCTAGTGTTCTGACTCATTTCTTTACTGGAGGTGTTACCCATAATGAAACCAGTCCACAACTGAGGTGTGTTTTGTACCATGTTTACTATTTATACTTTTTTTTTTTTTTTTTTTTTTTTTTAAATTGTTTCTATTTTTTTTCCCCTCAATCTTTAAAAAACCCTCAACACTTTTTGTTTTGGTGTTTTGAAAAAAATCTATGGTTAAAGGGAGATAACCTATTTTTTAAAAATGACAAAAAACCCACAATTTTTTTTTCTTTTCTTTTTTTATTGAGATCTAACAATAAATAACAGTTCAATCTTTTTTTTTATTTATTCACATCTTGACCAGCTCACATTCTTTAAGAACTTTTTCTTCCTAGCTTCTCTGGCTGCAATAGCTTCAGGTTTCTTCCAAGCTCCTATCTCCCATTCTATCCAATCTCTGGGCTCCAATTCCTTATTTCTCTCCTCAGGTTTCAGAACACCATATTCTTCATAGTCACCTCCTTGCTTGTAAAACATACTTTCCAGTTCTGGGGTACTGTGAGACATGGCAAAATTGGCATTGATATGAAGTCTGCACATAGTCAGTCCTCCTTCTGGTTCCTTCATTTGAATGAATCCCCTGATTTGATGCAGTTCTCCTGTCCAGGGATGTCTTTCCTTTTGTATAATCAAATACTGGAAACCAAAGAAGAAATCATCTTGGTTGCTCAGAAACATGTCTATATCTTCTTCTTCTTTAGGCTCTTTAATGGTGAAAGTCCAATTAATGGCTGTCCTGTAAAATCTGTCTGGACATTTAGGATCCTTCACAGGCTCATGCAGGGGTAAATATTCATTCTTAGGTTCCGGATCCAAGGTTTTCAACTCTATTCTTCTTTTTGTTTGAGGAGCTTCGTGATCCCCCTCCATAGGTTCCGTCATTCTCTTTTCTAATAAGGTAAATTTATCTTTATCCATCTCCATGTCTTCTAATATTCTAGGAATTCGTTTGCCAAACTGTCGTTTACTCAACCACATGCCCCACCAACTGAGGAGGATCGTCTTTAACACCTTGTTTTTATACCCCCACCTTGAATTGCATCATCTTTTTATAGTTGTTGCATCATCTTTTTATATCTATTGCATCATCTTTTTATATCTATTGCATCATCTTTTTATACCTGTTGCATCATCTTTTTATATCTATTGCATCATCTTTTTATATCTATTGCATCATCTTTTTATACCTGTTGCATCATCTTTTTATATCTATTGCATCATCTTTTTATATCTATTGCATCATCTTTTTTATACCCTGTTGCATACTGAAAACACTAACACATAAATAATAATAAGAACACAGATTTTTTTTTCATTTTTTATTAACAACAAACAACAAACAACAAACAACTCATTTACAATACATTTTTGATAAAAACATTGACACTTTTTGTCCATGACCCGTAGGTAATTTATGATAAGTGTTTTTAAACCAATTCGCTACGTATCTGTCCCTTTGTAAAGCCGTACTCTGGTCAAAGGGGAATAGCCACTCGTCGGTTTTCTTTCTTTTCTTGTCTCTTTGATGTAAATAATACACGCAATATTGTCCACACACATCGGTATTCCAGTCTTGATAGCGATACGGATTATAAATCCATTGTTGAGCATGACGCTGGATAAAATCTTGAATTTCTTTTTGTAAGGGAGGAAATCCATAAGAATCGAAATATTCCACCACGGGATTGCTCACATATAGACACACCCAATGTTCTCCAGGTCGATCTTGAGGATCCGTATTGACCACGACAGCTTTTTCTCCAGGTCTTAATTGATCCGGTAATAAATCTACAGGATACACGCCTCCAAAAGAACTCTTGAATTCTCTGGATAAGACTTCTCTCAATTGTCCCGTATCCATTAGTAATCAATGCTCACTTCTCTCTGTTTGTTAATTTCTAATAAGTTATCGAATTCTGCATACACCACACAATTGATGGTGTTAACCGTATTGTTGGTAAACTGCACTTCTACTCTCAGATTTCCTGTTTCTATGATGTGGAATTTATCCGATTGCGCTTCTTGATCTTTAGTGAAATCCCAGCCCCATAGAGTGTAGCCGCTTTTATACTCTTCTAGGGTGATGTCCGGAGCCCAATCTTCTCCTAATTTTCCCAGAGCTTGATACAGACTGAGATAGGATCTCAGATATAAATCCTCGTTGAAATGAGGTTCAAAACAACGAGTACTCATGGTCTCTCCGTTGATACTGACATCTAATTTCTTGATCCCAAAGTTTTGGAAATGAAAGGGATTTTTAGTTTTATCTCCGTTGAAAGCCGCATTCTCCACAACAAAGCCTAAAATGAGACGTTTAGGCATCTGACCTTGAAACAGATGATCCGTTATCTTAGACTGGGTCCCTATGGGGAATGGTAAAGGTTTTCACTTCCACTCTTCTCAAGGGATATTTGGCTCTGTGGGTATTCAAACTCTGATTAATGGTATTCATCATGACTGCTGTGGGTTTGACTTTTCTCACCCACAAGATCATACTCAATATTTTCACTTTTCCTGTACTTCCTCCTTTGATCATCATGTAGAAAGAAGGTCTAGCTCGATTAAATCGCAAACGGACGTCCACTCCATTAGGTAGAAATCGATCTTGTTGAAACAAATCCAAATGTAAAGTATCCAGCAAACTGATTTTCTTACTGTCAGCAATAGCTTGGTGTCTTTTTCGGAATCCTTCGTTTTTAGAATTGGCCGGTAACGCTGTGAGGATGGGTTGGTTAATGGTCACCGTGTCGGCCCCACCATTTGCACCCGGAGTTACATCAAAGGTTTTATTTTGAGCTACACCAAGAGCCTCTAACCCCACTTCGTCCATGTGTCCTGCCGTATCTTTTTCCCACAGACTACAGGCCCTGGTCTGTGTCTTTAAAGTTCTGGGTCGGTAAGACAATAATTTCTCCAGATAAGCTTTGTAAGGATAGGTATCCGTCCCCGGAGTCACTATTTTTCCATTCAGACTGACATCGATTTCCGTAAACATGGAATGTAAGATATTATTCACGGGACTGGAAGTGCTGTTCGCCCCAGTCAGATTACTTCCATCGTCTTTGGTAAATTTACATACCATTTGAACATAAGTTTGAGATAAATCCAGATAGTGATCTCCTTGTCCTTTAATTTCAAATTCGATGGGAGCGGTGTCGGAATCTAAAGTACTGGAAATGGGGTAATATTCTTCCCATTTCGAGTCTTCTAAAGCAATATTAGTCGGAGGGACTTGAAACAATTCTAAATTGTTCATCCCACACGCACAGGAATCGGGCTGTAACATGATGTGTCTACTAGGATTCAGTTTTCACAAATGAACCTTCTGTTCCCTGGACTGTCCTATTTATACTCTCTCTCTCTCTCTCTCTCAGTCAAACACATCTAAATGACGTTTTCTTTTAGGAATTCCTCCTTGTTTTTTCCTTTTTCTCTTAGGACCCCCTCGGGCTAACAGGACTCTTCCTCTCCCTGTCTGCTTTCTTCTTTTTCTTCTTCTTCCTTGACCTGTTTGTCCTTTTTTCTTCTTTTTCTTTCTAAAGGGTAAAGAGACTCCTCGATTGAAAGCAAATAGACCTGTATTTTTGGCCGCATTGAGTCCGTGGGTTAAAAGAGCATTTCTGATGTTTTTTCTTTTTCCCACCACATCTCTGCCTATCTTCACTCCGGCCATGATGGCTTGTTGTTTCCCATGTTTGAGTAAATCTTTGACAAATCCTCGACCTTTTTGTAACCCCATGGCTAACTCGGCCGCGTTTTTGAGAGTCAAACCTGAGTCTGTGCCCGGTAGGGGTATGTTAGGGACTGCTGCCGAGAGGAAGTTTAAAAAATTTCCTCCTTTTTGAGGTTTCATGTGAGTTAAAAGCCTACCCAATTTGAGTAATCCTGTAATAGGAGTTCCCGATAGATTATCCAAGGGAAGGGCTCCCACCAATCCAGAGATGATAGAACCTACTGCTCCGCCTTTTTGACGTAATAAACCTTTATGATAAGTCCAACTGTGTCCTCTTTGTCTCAGTAATCCGGGATGATACTGCATGGTTCATGTCTCTTGTTCAACTGACCTTTATATCCTCGGGGGACTTCCTTTTATACCCTTTTTTAGGGCTGAATACAATACAGACAGCAGACCAGACAAGCCACCACACCCAATAAGATGGAACACAATAACGGTACATTCATCTCAGTAGACTTTTCTGAAATGAAGTTTCACCACTGATTTACCACTTACAAAGGGCATGGGAGTCCCTAAAGGAGTCATGATGTGAATCTCAATGGTATCGAAATGTTTTTTACTTAGTTTCAAATATTCCGCTCGAATGGGTTCCCATTTGGCTTGTTTTGAATCCTCCAAATGAAATGTACAAGGCACCACTCTTAAGAGTTTCAAGGCATTGGAGCCTACCGTCTGGGGTTGAATCAAGTCACAATAGACATACATGGATTTCAGATTTTCATATAAATCCACAGTACTGTTTCCCAAGTAACTAATGTTGATCCATTTGGTCATGTTTTCTGTATCGTTCTGAAGAATGACTTTCTGACCGTCCATGCCTAGCTTATAAGCTAGGGATGTGGGGAAACGAATGCATAAGGGAGTAAGCATTTTTTCATTGATTTCATACATCACTCGATCATAGGTCTCGTAATATACTAATTTCATAGATTTTTCTTCATTTCCATCACCAAGGGTTTTCCATATTTTTTTCAATGATCTCTGTAGTCCTAGACTTATTTCCTCTGTTAAAGCCTTGGGGTGAGTGTAAGGCCCGGGTCTGAAGTGAATTCGTCTAATTTCCATCTTGCTATCTAGTTCAACGAGTGCAGGCCGTTTAGTATGGGCCCAATCGAGCAGTACAGGACATTGACGTAATGGCATTGGGTCTAAGGTTTTCATTTTAAATCTGCCATAAACATTGGGGTTTTTGATATGGCGAGCATAAGACTGAGGAACCAGGATGTCAAAATAAGCCTCCTTTTCTGTAATGTTTTTCAATGAATTGGGATACATCATTTCTGTTAAAGCCACTTCCCATTCTCCGTCGGTTAAATCTAGGGATTGTGGTAATAAGGTTTTAAATTGAGCGGTCGTATTGCTAGAAAAAGAGGTCATAGACCCATCACTGGGTAAAGTCATGTAAAACCCACTGCTCTCGGCCATGTTCAATTTAAGACTGAGACTCTAGACCTTAAGACCTTTGTATTTATAACAACACTTTTTTTTTTTTTAAATTCAAAACATTTATTCAATGATTTACACATCTATTTCTTCTTCTTCGTCTTCTGATGATCGGTCCTCAATCACTCGAGTCAACAAATGTCCTTTCTTTTCCACCGAGTCTTTAATCTGGGCAAAGGGAATGCGACAATACAAGTACTCTGTAGGACAATAATGAGGTGGAAACGTCAGTCCTTTTTTCTCCATCTTGAAATAATATTTCAGACAATCTCCAATGTCCGAGTACCATGAACTTTCATTCTGAATGGTGTTGATGGGTGTCAGACGATTCCTTTGAGTACAAGTAACCCATTTGAATTGCTGATAATGTTGGTTGATTTTCACCCTCACTCTAGATCCTGTTGGAGGATAGGGGATTTTCACTCTTTTTTCCAACCACACATTCTCCAAGTAATAGCCTGGATGATTTTCAAAGAAATCCATGATGGCTCCTATTTTAGTTTTCATCCACCCTCCTTGCATGTACATACACTGACTAATGGGACTCTCACAATACCAACGATACTGCATCTTTGAAACAAAAAACACGTCTGACTTGTTCAGTGTCCTTTTTCAGAATGAGAGAGGGTTTTGTGATATACCTCTTGATAAAACCTTTCATCTATTTTTATTTTTTTTTTTATTTTATTTTTTAAATTATATTTTATTTTTTAAAACAAACAAACAAAACAACAAAGAATTTTTTAAACACAAATTTTTATTCAAGTCAAAAAATACAAAAAAAAAAAATGATTTTATTGTCCTTCATATCGGCATAAGGGGCATTTCTTGTAGGAAGTCTCAAAGAGTTTCTTCACACACTTTTCACAACACGGATATTGCCGGCATTGTCCGCATTTCCATTTTCCTCGAGTCTTTTCCTGGTAGCACATCATACATTCTTTCAAAGGTCTGTTCCTGGTCATTTTCACCCATCGGGGAGGCGGTATGTTCTCAATTCCTTTCTTCCAGATGAAATATTTCAGGCACCAGCTACAACCACAAGTCTCTATGGAAGAAGGCTCATCATCTCAAACCAGTGTGGAAATGGCATTTCACATTTATGCTACATCAAATCCAATAGACTTTCAACTTCTCCCGCATCGGTTATATACTGACGTATTCATAATCTGTTGTATTCTGATCACAGTAATGACAAACTTTTTTTTCTACATCACTCCAATACACCCATCTCCACACAAAAAACATGATGGCTAAATAATGAGTGCAGGGTACTCCCAGCTCCGCTTTATATACCTTTACTGTTGCATCATCTTTTAGATCTGTTGCATCATCTTTATATATCTATTGCATCATCTTTATATATCTATTGCATCATCTTTATATATCTATTGCATCATCTTTATATATCTATTGCATCATCTTTTTTATATACCTGTTGCATCATCTTTTTTATACTTGTTGCATCATATGTATATAGGAAAAAATAACAACACTAGAATTTTTGGTTTTTTTCTTTTTTATTTTATTGATTCATAACAACAACAACAACAACAAGAACATCATTATAATAACAAACATTCAAAACTTCTCTTCAGTTCTTTTTGTATGGGAAAAGGTCTCCTCATGTACAAATAGTCTGTTTCACAAGCACAGTCCATGATATCGTATCCTTTTAGGATCACTTTCTTGCCATAGTCTTTTATACAATCTCCAGCTTTTTTCATCCATTTTCCTTGAATCCAAGTCTTCTCGGGTCCCTGTGTTCGGTGAGCCAAGACGTAATTGACTTTCCATTTAAATTCTTCATATTTAGGTGATCTGGGTCCTATTAAGAGCATCTGATTGCTTCTTTGGCGGTCCGGTAACTTGAATCTCTTATACAAGTAGATTTCATTGAGACCTGTTTGTCCTGGATTCTTATCAAAGAAATCTTGAATACATGTCTCTTTGTTTTTCATCCATTCTCCTTTGTGACTAGTCCCTTCAGGTTCTACTATTTTCCAACGATACTCTGAGCTTAAAAAATCCATGATGTGTGTGCTCTGTCCCTCACTCAGATCAGAAATGATCCTCTTGGGGTTATGGTGTCTCCTTTTTATAGGGTGTATCTATTTTTAGATTCCGGGATTAACTGGGTGAA